TCTGCAGCTTCTCCCTTGATAATTTGTTGATTCATTGTTATCAGCGTTATAAAATAAACTGCACCGAACACAATAATAACACACTCAATAATTGACGCAATGTGTATTTGAAAAGTTTATCAGATCTACAGATGCACCCGCACTAAAAGTGCATATGTGCGTCCCAAGCCTCAACCGAGAAAAATCGGTTCACCCTCCCATAAAAAGTTATCACTTCAAAAGACACCTACTGAAAAGCGAGAAAACGCAAATCGAGACGACATAAATAGAATGAACAAAGAAATATTAAGAATAATCAGAAAAGACTTAAAAAAGCATATAGAGGAAAGCATTGCCAAATCCATTCACCAAGCAGTTCAAAGGGAAATCATCAAGCTCAAGGGCAGACAACATAACACCGAAGAGACAACATTTGTGGGAAATTGTGAAAATATTGTGAAGTGTTTGGGTCGACTTTGCGGTTCTGAGGACATTCCGGAAACTTCACTACACGATATATGCAGGGCTCTGGAAAAGATGAAGTATAACCAGGCGCTTCGGAGAACGATGGTGTCGTTACAGAAGCGTTAAAGATTGGAGGATCGAATCTGATGGCCAAGGCTCAAAAGCCTTTTTATCTCTGCCCCTTACAGAAACGACTGGAAGAAAGATCACTGCTAAATTTTCCCACGGCAATCAATTCAATCGAATTGTAAAACAAAGGCAAAAATTGCATCAATTCCAGTCATATGTCAGCAAACCGAGCCAGTTCTTTGTGACACGTGCCATTACATTACCCGTGGGGCATATTCCCGGCCAGAATATGGCAAATAAATATTCATGGCGATCGCTCGAACGATGTAAAATAGATTTGTTTTTGAATTTAAAGTTCTCGCATCATTTGGCGCCCCGAGCGGACGTTCTGGTTTGACATCAAATACACGTTTTATATTAATCCGCCTGAAACTTTTCCATATTTCAATTTGACCGCTAATGTTTTTGTAATTTTGATTTATTGCGCGTGACGACGGCTCTTGTTATGCGGGACGCGCAACGTCGATTTGCCGTATCGGTCGCCCATTACCGATTTCCATTCGATTTGTTCGGACTTATTTCGAATAATGCATTTTCCATGTCCGGCTGATCTGCCTTGCGTCTTCACATTATCCTGGGGAAATGCTTGCATTAATTGCGTAAACCCTGGGCGGATACAGGGGGGGTCGTGACCACCCCGTTGGACTGAGTTTAAGTCGGCTAAAGAATTTTCTCACTCATGTTGTTATTTCTGAATCGAGTTATCAATTCTCTATCCAACGATGCCAAAAAGAATTATGTGGCTCAACTGGGGCTTGAGAAAGTTCGAAAAAAGCAGCGTCATATTTGAGTCTTTAGCCTCAAATCTTTATTATTTTATTATATAAAAAAGTTCTCGCTCCTTCAACGTCTCAACCCAAATCGTTTCTATTTCTTCCTTAACCTTAAAGCTTATTTACTTCTTCTTCAATTTATTCTTATGGGACTTAACTTTGTGAGCAATCCGAACATCTCTTACTTTAATATGCATTTTACACTTCCTAAATCCATAAGCTGGCAACCTGAAGTTTCTGTAGTCAAAATGAATCCAGCCAGTACTCGGAAAAGTTTCCGTGGTAAATTCTGACACAATTTTAGTTTTAATTTCCTTGCATTCTAAATGTGTCTCCTGGGCATTCGATAAGGACCTGCTACACGTCTTTCCAGCGTATGTTAATCGCGGTTTCAAGCTCGCCTTGGGCTGTTACGTGTAACAATATTTCCCAATCAATTTCTCCCGTTTTCATGGATAATTCGCTGTTCCCCCAAAGGAAATTCGAATACCAGCACAATTTTCGGTTCGATGGCACTCGATAATTAAAGCTTGTACATAATAAATGTTTGTGATTACTTAATTTATCATAAATCCGATCAAGCTTTTCGATTATTTTCATTTTATTTTAGCATTCCTCCTGTTGCCAACCTTTCTTTGTGTTTCCAGTGATTATTGCCTATTTGTGCATCAAAATTTTCCGAAAACCACTTGATTTCGTCCTCGATTAATAATTACCAGACGTCCAGCCAGTCCCAATATGAATATGTCGACTATGTTTTTCATAATTACGTAAATTAAGGAGCTGGAGACAAATTAATGACTGACTAAAGTTAATCGAAACTTGATAGCGGATGCGTAAAGGATGTGAACATTATAAGTTTTCCACTGTTCGAGGCAAGGGCCAGCAGTTTTCTTAAGCACAAAGCAAAAACTAAGCATGTTCAGGCCAATTGTCATCGTGACTTGCTTGATTTACTTGGTCCAAGCCCATCCAGACGAAAGACTATCCACAGTAAGTTCGAGGTTCCAAATAATTAATTTATCTACCGTCCAGTTTGGTTTGTGCCTTTGGAAAACGTCGTTGAAAAATATTCGCCAAAGTACATATTCCAGCGTAAATTGTTCAATTAATATAATTGCCCCATCATAAACTGACTGAAATACCCAATTGATGTTCAATGACGCAAATCCGCGAATCAGCAACTGTAGCAATTGATGGTTGGCAGAATGAAAAATTGCACAGAATTTATTAATCGCTTCCACTATTCCATTTCTGCAAAGTGGCAATTTAAAACTTTTCTGCAATAAACGGATTCATCGAGATTCCTTAGCAAAACAGACAATGCTGCTTATAAACCGTCGACTAAATTATTTTAATTCAAGTAATTGAGTTTCCAAAACTTCTTTTCAAAATTTTTGCCGTTTAAAAACACAGAGCGTTACCCACTCGTTTAATTTTATCTAAAATCCCTGGAATAAAAAGGTTTGCAATGGCCGACAATGTCTTTTTTAAAAGTTGTGTTTCTTATCAGGGGATTTGAAATATTTAAAAGACATGTGGCTAAAGAATTTATAGGTTCAGTTATTCAGTTCAAATAATTGTGGATTTACATCATTGGCAAACAGTTACCCACAGCGCCTTCTATTAGAAACAGTTTATGGCAAAATACGGCTACCCGATCGAGGACCATTCCGTTACCACTCAAGATGGTTACATTTTGACCGCCCAGCGTATCCCTCATAGTCCTAATGGGCAAAAACCGACTCGAGTGGTGCTTTTGGTGCATGGAATGGGAGGCAAAGGCGCAAACTATTTGATTTTAGGTAAGCTCGCGCAATAGTTTGGTTTCTAAATCCAGTAGGAACGTGAAAAAAACAAGTACTTAAACCATCATGAAAAATATTAACGTGAAATCGATGCCAATTATGATTAAATTTGTCACGCAATAAACATGCCGTTTCAACTTTCTATACCTATTCAAAGAAGAAATATGTATGTCTTCGTTAGAAATGCTCTCCTCTTATTTCTGTCCATCAAACAATGCGCTTCTTGAACTTGATAATTTCCCGCCAATTCTCCTTTCTCTATTAACCTTTTTTCCAGTCCTTCCTCATCTTTTAGGCATCTCTCTCCAGCTTTTTCTTTTGAAAAAACACACAAAATAATATTCCAAGCACTTGAAAGTCCACTTTTTCCTAATACTGATTCCCCATTATTCCGAACTTTCCAGGTCCTCCGGATGCCTTGGCATTTTATATGTCCGACCGAGGCTATGACGTGTGGTTGTTTAATGCCAGAGGCACTGAACTGTCCCGAAAACACAAAACTCTGAACCCGAACAGAGATCGCAAAAAATTCTGGAATTTCAGGTGCTAAAACTGTCACAACACCCCACCTTAACAACTAACTGCTGTAACCGCGTACTTTAAGCTGGAATGAAATTGCGCTGTTTGACTTGCCAGCGACTATCGACTACATTGTGAGGAAAACCGGAGCCGACAAGTTGTTCTACGTGGGTCATTCTCAAGGAACCACTTCCTGTTTGATTATGTTGTCTGAAGTGCCAGAAATAAACGATAGAATTTCGGCTGCGGCTCTGCTGGCTCCTGCAGTTTTCCTTAATCTGACCAAATCGCCCATTTTAACTGCAGCCTCAAAACTAGCAGGACTTGCCCAGGTAACCTCAAAATCTCCATTGAATCTCTGGATGGCAGTTTATTTCTCCAAACCTAAGAGGCTTTTGGGAATGTTCAACTGGTACGAGCTGCCGATGCCCAACAGCCCCATGCTGAACAACATCCTTCTGTCATTGTGTCGACCTCCCATGGATGACCTCTGCCTCGATATCGTGTACTTGATTGGAGGACCAACATCTGGATTAGTGGACAAGGTACCCAAAGAGAGTTTTCTGGAAGTTTGACCACCAAACTCCCACTTTTCAGAGCATAGTTCCCATGGCCTTAAAGTTTGGTATTTCTGGAATAGCCAGCAAGCAGATCTTCCATTATGGGCAAGTGATACTAAGTGGTACTCATGATGCAAACGCACCTACTATTGTACGTGTAAAGCCCTAATTTGCAGGAGAGTTCAAAAAATACGACTACGGAAGTAAGGGAAACCTCAAAATGTACAACAGCACAAAGCCGCCTCTTTACCAGCTGCACAACGTGAGAGCACCGATGGCGCTATTTTACTCGGTCGAGGACCCTTTTGGAAACAATTTGGTACCACCAGGTGGAAAAACATTGACAAATAGTCGAAACCTTTCTTTTCAGATGATGGAAAAGCTAAAGACATTTCTACCCAATGTGGCGCTCGACAACCAAATGTCTTTACCGAACTGGAATCATCTGGACTTTGTACTGGCTCGCAACTTGCGCCAGGAAGTACACGAGCCTTTATACGAGTTATTCAAAAAATACACCGATGAGCTGTAAGCTCAGAAGCCAGTAAACAGGGTCTTGAAAACATACTGAATCTCTCCTTTCGAAAAATAGCGATTTCGGCACAAATATGATCGTTTCGGTCGTCACAAGCGCCCCCAAGAGACCGGAACTGATAAGGGTTTCTGGCTGCTTGTTGTTTTTGCGCTATTGTGCGTCGTTAAGTTGATAAATAGACTCCAAAGGGGATTCTCGATAAAGTAATCTTAGAAAATCCCATAATTGACCATTGTGTTATTGCGCTTACGAAAACTTTTACTTAGCAAAACAGTCAGTTTATGTTGTAGCGGAACTGGCAACATCGCCAAATTCGATACCAGACTGGAAAAATTGAGCAATTTTAGAGCGTGAGTCAAATTCACGCTGTTAACCGGGGAGAACAGTTGTGTTTTTTTTTATTCTTTTAACGGTGTCTGTGTATTTCCGTGATTGGCGGAAATTCAAATACCCGTTACCATCAGATGAATGTCTCGTCCAATCTCAATAACGCCTTAGCTTTCCTCCCTTTTCTCCCTCTTGAGAACATAGAAAAGTCGTTCATTTCCAGCTAACCGATAAAACCGCTAAGCAAGAAATTAGGAAAAAGCAAAGACAAGAGTCCTAACCAAAACCACAACAAAGTATCTCGAGCTAAAACACAGCAAATTAAATCCTAATAAAAATCATGGCCATTCTCAGTGCAGTTAAAGGAGCTTTCCCCTCTCCCATTATAAGCTTTTGGAACAAAACAGGGCACGGAATCGTGTAGTTCTTTCTGCGAAAGTTACGTCATTAAAAAGAGATTTGTGCGGCAAATTATTTTCGCGCCGAGTCGCTTTACGTAGCGAAACTTTAAAGCGGCGTCGTAATTTTTTTTTCGGCTGCGAAACAATAGTTTAGTGCATCCGGGGAATTTAAATCTGCTCCACTGTTTTCTAAGTGAGTCGCAAACTCTGACGCAAATATGTCAATTTGGTCTACGCGAACGCCTAGATGGGGGGATAAACAACATATTAAATGAAGCGCATTATTTTTCGTTAGGAAGATTGCCTTTCACCGAGCAGGAAGATTGAGACTCGAAAATTTCCACACATGCAGGCTGGAAGTTTTCCCCAGACGGCGCAAGCCATCTCTTACTCAATTTCAGTCATCCCACTGAACTTCAGTCAATGATGATGCTGACTTTGTCCCATTTCCTACGAATTAAAAAAAGCATGGTATCAATTTGACAAAGACACAACATTGACCAATAGGCGCATTTGCGGCCTCATTAACTTTGCTAATTGGTGCGAATCAAATATGCGTGAAAATGGCTCAAACAAAAGCTCGCTGCTTCCATTCGAAATCCCATCGTGGAAGATAGAAAAATGTTGAAAAACCGATTAATGCTTATTTGGGCGGTCATTCAGTTGGAAGCGGTTGGCGTTGTGCGACTGCATGTAGATGAAAATCTGTCTGTAGTAAGTTTCCGGTATTCAGCGCTTACAAGCATCCAATAGAGTGGCAAGTTGAGTGTTGATTCTCTTTTAGACCCAAATCATCAAAAAACACAACTACCCAGTGGAAGAACACACCATTACCACTGCGGATAGTTACGTGCTGAAGACGTTCAGAATTCCACATGGCCAACAGGGCAAGCCTGAATCGCGGAATGTGGTTTTACTCGTCCACGGACTCGCCTCTTCCTCAGACGACTGGATTCTACTCGGCCCGGACTCTTTGGCCTACCATCTAGTGGACAGCGGATTCGATGTGTGGCTGTTTAATGCTAGAGGCACTCGACATTCGCGCAAACATCTGAAACTCGACCCCGAAGCGAACGCGACTGATTTCTGGAACTTTAGGTAAAATGAGCTTTCCTCTGCATGTTTCTTAAACTTCCTCTGCTTCGTTCTAGTTGGGAGGAAATTGGCCTTTACGACCTGCCGGCCAACATCGACTACATCCTCAATCATACAGGGGCGGCCAAACTGTTCTACGTAGGACATTCACAGGGTGGTACCGCCAATCTGGTAATGCTTTCTCAACTACCTAAGATGAACGAGAAAATCATGGCAGCCTCCCTACTGGCTCCTGCTGTCTACTTTGTCAACGAGAAATCCGTGGCTCTTTTAAAAGTAGTCGCAGTGCTGTTCTCAGTATGTTCAGTGAGGAAGGATTCGAGTATGTAATTATGAAAGTATTTTCAGCCTCGAGTGCGTAAGATCAGTTTCTACGAGTTTCCTCCAAAGTCCAGCAGTCATCTAACTGACATTTCCAATCAGCTTTGCTCCTTTCCAGGACTGATCACCATCTGCTACAACACCATTTACTTTGGAGCTCAACTGGAAAATCATCCGATTGATCAGGTACTTCTTTACATATCTAATCCCAACCACGAGAATCCAGTTCAGATTCTTCTCGTGAAGTGAGTTGCTTTCTCTGGTTTGCAACATTCCATTAATTTTGTTTCGCTAATGGGAAATTCAGCCATTTCGTCGGGGGCACCCGTTCTCAATCACACATACACATTTTCTCTCCAATTTCACAAAAATTCAGGCGCCATCCTCGTCCTCGTCCGTAGTCACTGTAAAACTGCTCATAAATTCGCAATTCCTTTGTTTTGTTGCTCTAATTTTTAGCTCCATCTCCCTTGTTATTTATAATTTCTGCAATAAATATTCTGATAATGAGCATATGTTTTGTCTGTGGGCTGCTCTCTCTATGTTGCATGCACCAGGTTTCACGTATTTTCCTTCTCCTCCAAAAGTGTTTCTTCATTCGCAATAAAATATACGGCGTATTTGATTTCCTCAGTCACGTCTAAATTATGTTCTTTCAAAAGACAAAAACTTTGAGACGAAAGACCCAAAATGCATAGTAGAGTTTTAAAATTGTTGCATTCCAGGCAAATCTTCTGAGGAGTTTTGGTTGGTTAAATTAATTAATTAAATTCTTCTATTGGTTGCAGAAGTTGATTCCGTTAATAGTCCAGCATGCGCCGAGCACCCTCTCCACTAAACAGATCCACCACTACACTCAAATAATGCAATCGGGGGAGTTCAAACGATTCGACTATGGAACTCGCAGAAATTTGAAGACTTATGGCTTCTCCAAGCCGCCAGTGTTCGACTTGTCCCGAATCACCACACCCATGCTAATATTTTACGGAAATGGAGACTTTCTGGCCAGTCCTCTTGTAAGTCTGCACACCTCGATGAAATGTCAGTAAACACTTGATGGCTTTTAGAGCGTGCAAAAAATGACCAACGAGTTGACAAACCAGCACGAAGTAGTTGAGGTGCCTTTCGATGGATTTGACCACGTGGACTTTCTATGGGCACGAAACGCGAAGGAACTAATCTATGAGAAAACCCTCGAAATGTTCCAGAAGTATGTTAATTAAGCTCTGTATGTGTGACTAGACGGGAATATATAAAACATTGATCGGAATTATGGTCCTTAAATGATGAGAAGGCAAAAAGTGGGAACATTAATCAGGCTAGAAAGGGCATTCAGACCATATAAATCTAACCCTTTCGAGGCGCAGTGGTGACAGACAAAAAATATAGATCGTGCTCGGCACTCTGAAGGAAATTAAAATTCTTCGAGGCCAAGAGGAATGGGCGCACATTCTGATACAGACGTGTTGCAATTATTGCAAAGAATAATAAAATGCCACGGCACTGGTTGGCTGATAATGGATAGATACTAACTAAGAGTTGAGTTTTCTGGAATTTTTTCTTTAAATGACCCACACTGTATATTTTTGCGAAAATCAACGATTTACAACACTGAAAGGAACTTAATTGACTCTTTGAGCCTCAAGCCAGCTTCTGTGATCTAGTGAAGCGGAAAAAACATCCGACTTCCACAAAGCAATTGCTTCATTATACAGGTCGTGCATTCCAATGACAAATCCGAACATTCTACGGTAATTTACCGCTCCATTTCATGCACACTTTAAAAGTCTAATGCGAGCGAACCGTTTTTCTTCCGTGGAAAATTGCGTGTCATAAAACAACACTCCTGTTGAATGTTATCTGATTTTACACACTAGTATTTTACTAACAGCGTCTTTGAATATTAATTGAATATGCCGCAAAAGTGAACGTTGAAAAGTCGTCACTTGCCTTTGAGGGCCGCGTGCAGACATCCAGAAGCTTCCAGGCAAAGTGGGACATCGCTGCTTAATCTGCAAGGAACAGAAAAAACTAATGAAAATTTGAGAATCAAAGTGCGCAACATTCCTGGTCTGTTGGACGTGTTGAATCTTGTACATTTCGCCTGGCTTTGTTACAACAAAAGACACTTCGACCCAGCTGGAAGTCTGTATACGTGTGGGCCAAATGGCATCAGGAATTATACCGGAATGATTAATATTCATTACTGCATCGGCAATTATAAGACGGGCCTCATGTTCAAGGGATGGCGTTGTTTCGTTGCCCCGCATAGAAACGGAGTGATTTCAGGTGATCCAAACGGCAAGATTGTATTCACTTTGGCACAACATTGTCGTCTTTAGAGCGGCTGCACCGACAAGAAAAATAAGCGCACATCGAAATTAAGTCAGCTGTAAAGTGCAGACGATGTGAACCGGGAAAAGCGGAAGATGCCAGCAGATTTAATAACTTACACTCACTTAGTGTCAAAACATTTCGCTTTTCACGTCAGCGAATAGTTGAGATCTGGCTTTATGATGGAGTCTGTATCAGTCGGGGAGTCGGAGTTCTTTAAAAGAAGCAATTTTAAACCGTCATACACGTTCATCAGGGAGAGTTGAAAGAGCTCTGGAAAATCTCAAGTAGGCATTTAACGTAATGTGCTTTGAAGAAGCGTTTTTTCTCTGATGAAGAGAAAGATTATAGAAATGTCGTATTGCTGGTTTTGGTCAAAAAAGGAAAAACGAGCTATAAATGAAAAAAAAAATGATGTGCGTCACGGGATGCTCGACAGAAGTGATAACGTCATAAATTAATAGAAACCATAGAATATTGAACTTGTTTAACGCATGATGGCAATAATAATTTTAATATTCTTGTTAGTCTAATAATTTATAAATGAATCAGGAATAGGTAAAATTTCATTAAATTTCAAGTTCAAGTCAATTTTAAACAAGTAGGTAGTAATATTTTACCGAATCGTGCAATATAATGCAAATGGAGATCATCTGGAGAACATTTTGTGTAAAACTTGAGTTTTATATCGAGAATGTTGATTATGAATGACAAATGTTGATTATATCGAGAAAATTGTATATTTTGAAAATCTAGTAGTGACAAATGCCCGTTTCTCACACCAAGATCGATTGCGACGATTAGTCCAATTTTCTGGGTTTTAACATTACTTTACTTACTTACTAACTCATTAATATGCATGGTTTTTTCAACATTTGGTAAACAAACCTGAAACCTGCAAAAAGAACGACAAAACCAACCAAACCAAAGAATGGATCGAGTGTATTAAATCAGAAACCCCACACTAGCACATGGAAGAATAGCAATTAAATTTAAAAACTGTATGGAATCCATCGGTATTTATGGCCAGCGGGATGCTGAGGAATGGCGGAATCTTTAAAAATCCTCGGCGACGTAACAAAATGAAAAGCGCCGCGTGAAATCCCCTTTTTAGCATAACTTCCATCGCGCGAAAGAGTTTCTCGGTTGGGGGGGGCCTCTAAGCAACCGTCAGAGAGATACAGAAAGGCACATAAATAGAGCCAGAGCCGAATTTATCGCCTTGAGTGTCAACATTAGCTGCGGAGAAACGACATCCGGCGATTTAGAGATCGATTCTCACTTCATCTTCATGTTAACCAAACGACACCCCTAATGATACTTGACAAATAGACACATGCCAAATTCTATAGGGCGCTAACCAGCCACCCAAGGATTCATGCTGGTGAAGTTTTAATGAAGCTGCCCCAAGTTTTCATATCATTAGCAAGCCCCAAGAATGCAGGTTTTAATTATAAAATAATTCGCCAACGCTAGGCAAAGAAATAATTAAGGTGAATTTTCAAACGCGAAGCAGTTTTTAATTTAAATTAAACTTTTTGCCCTTGCAAAATGAAGCTATAACAACTGTTTGCTTTATTAATATTTTATGTTCTCTTGTGCCTTAATTTCGTGATTGAGAACGGGAAATCCACCGAGAGCCTGATTCAACGTTTTCTTCCCTTTTTCTTTTGCCTACACTACGAATTCAGCAAATTTTCCTGCGCACCTATTGTTCGCAATTTTCTCTTAATTCTCTTAGCTTTTCAAAGGTGTTGTTGTTGTTGACAAAACGTTTCAATTCAAAATAAGGTCGAATTGAAGAGATCAAATTTTGGATGGATTAGATCAAATTAAAATCTCTACTTGGTCGAGAAGAGCAAGAAAATTAAATGAATGTTCCTTGGGTAGTCTTCAAGTAAAAAGTAGAGTCAAGAGCAGATAGGTACTTAAATCGGTATACAATTGTTTGTGAACAGAAATATGTAGGTTACTACTGTGGTTCGGAATGACTAGATGTAACAAAAGTTACTTAGAATGTAGGAAAAAAAGTAACAAGAAAAGAGAATGCCAATTTTCACGTAGATTGGTGCGAAAGTGGCCGCACAGTGAAAAGCACAGTAAGCGGTATCACTGAGCATGTCCCACATGATATACGACTGTTATTCCATATAATAATATTATCTAAATGGAGGTCGGGATACCATCTTGTAATACAATACGCTGACCAGATTGTCAATTAGCCGGCGTTGTGGCAGCCATTGTGGCTGGAATTGATAAAGTTGAGCTGGACCGGTGATTTATGGCTGATAATTTGATTTCGCACCTCCGTAAATTCGTTTTCCTGCCCATGCGAGAACAAAGGAAACAGCACAGTGCAAGAAACCGACCCGATAACTCATATTAGAAAATGCAGCAGCAACAAATCCCGTTTTCATAAACGGATTTCAGGCCGAAGGAAAAAATGGAGAATCTTTGTCCTCCCAAATGGGACGACGACATAAAAAGAAAAATATTCGGCCCGTTTATTTTTTTTCTACCTCAGGGCCCCAACTACCCCATAGGTAACCTTATTCGCCGGCAAAAACGCGATTAGGGAAATGAATCATCCTCCAACTGTAAGACGTTCTTGGGGGTAGGGTTTTCCCTACGCAAAAACAACCCGTTCGGAATAAGCAAGTCACCTATCTGATAAATGGAGGTTTCCAGGCGAACATTTGTTATTTTGATCTTGTTGACAGTTTACAGGTAAAAACAGATAATTAATTATATCTGAAATCTTTACGGGCTTTGTACGAACATTCTGACTCAGTTGTTTGATATTCTACTCGCTCTCTGCAGCAGGGCCGGAATACAAAAAAAAAATAGAAAACGGCCGAAAGGAAATTAAGTCTGCTTAGAGGACGTTGCTACAAATGTATATGTCTACTAATTAACTAAGCCCAAAATATTTTGAACAACTGAAAACTCAGTAATTAGTAAAGTCACAACAAAGAGCTGTGTTATCAGCAGAAGACTGTGAAAATCACTATGTCCTGTTGAGCAAAAAATCAATCGGCTTAAAGAAAATGTAGTTTTCCCGGATCGTTAATCTTGATAAAACAAGGTAATATTTTCTAATGATCTCCTCCAAGATCTGAGCCGGCCAGTTCAAGAATCCGCTCGGCTTAATGCAACTTCCACGTTCTCTGGTCCGGTTCTAAGTACTCGGCAATGCTGCAAACGGAGATAAATGTCTCCGGGAAAATGTGGCTTTATTTTATTTTCGAGATAATTTCTCAGCCTCCACGATGGCCGCGACTCAAATCGGTTTATAAAATTTTATTTTCCCCAATAAAGATCACTTTTCTAGGATTATTTAGCTGTTGCGATGGCCGGCTTAATAGAATTACATTTTCCCAGAATGGATTCGAACTGAACTGCATTCGAGATGTTTAGACTGTGCTTTATTAGATTCAAGAGCTTAGTAGAACAATCGAGTTTACATTAATTATAAAATGGTATCTTTGCTTCCTTTGCACTGTCAACGATATTTTCTTTTCTATTCCTCAAGTTAAGCTAAAGGCTCTTTGATTTCTTTTGTTATATAAGTCTAAGCACTGCATTCTTAGGGCCAATTTTCATCATCAAAATTATTAGATTTTATGGGTTGCCTTGTGATGGTGACGATACACTTATGTAAAAACCCTTCATAGATGCGAAATGGGGATAAAAGTAACCACCTCTAAAGGGTTGAAACTTCAGCAAGAACAGGAACCGGAGCGGTTATTAAAAATCGTTAAAAACAAAACCACAAACCATATATTTAATGAATGTTTCTTGAATTGAGCCAATTTATTAGAATTTACGATATTTATGTCGTGCACTTATTTGCTTTTGTTCAAAGCGCAATGAACTGAACTATCGACTTATCGGCGGAGAAATGCTATCGCCCATCAACATGCTCGATTTGAGTGCCATTTCTTAACAGTTCGCAATTAGTTCGCAACCGAGTGCACAAAGCGAGTTCATTTTCCATAATTCTGTTCGTATCTTGATTTAAACAATTTGGGGGTAATTAATATTTCGCAAAAGCGCGACTCCCTGCAAAGTTAATTTAACTCGGAGAAAAACAAATTGAGTGGAATCGAAGCCGAATTTGCACAAGTTATTCGCTCCGGTATTTTGGGGGCCGCCAATAAAATCACTGGATTTTAGGTGCCGAGTAGGCGAATTTTGCATTTGGATCTCGTAAGTACCGAATCTATAATGGGGAGGAGTAACAGGCAGTAAATAAATTGGACGCATTTTGCGACTCAAACCTGCAAACAGCACTTTCGAGAGCGGTGTAAATTTGCAACGTGCAGCATTTCTAAGTAATTACCTGAATGTTATTTACTTGTGGCTAATAAAGGGAAAAAGTGCGCGGAAGAGAACTTTCTTTCCGCTAACGGTAACCAACCAATTAAGAAAAACAAACAGAACTTTTCATATTAGAAGGGCCGGACGCCAAAAGCAAACAGAACTTTCCTACTTCTTCCTCATTACCAAACTGGCCGTTGTTACAGGGCAGAACGCGTCTTTGTTGACGTAAACCTTCCAAAGAAAAATGTCGTTTTTCATTTTTGTGCCTCGATTGATCAGGGTTCGACTAATCGCCATCCGACGGACTGGTTAATACCCTAAACGCAAATAGCCCGAATCACTTCTAGAATTATTGGAGTATCTCAATTTCGACAACTCAACTGTAATTAATGTTTTGCAAGGCGAACCGAACCTCGGGTAATTAACTCCGACAAACCGAAATTAATTGGTTCTAGGGTTCGGCAATAAAAAGTTGGGCAAAAATTGCCCCGGAAGATAATTAGTCTACGGCCTGGACTCTCGACTGGACGTTAATTTCGATATTATTATACCTACTTCAAAACGCTTGAAAGTTGCTGAATTTATATTAGAAGAGTTTTTGCCACAACCGAGTGACGAGTTATGCGTGCAGGAAATAGAAACACCCATATAACTTTCTATGTATTTAAAAAAAAGTCTGGCAGATGCAAGAACACGCCACTTGAATCAAAGGCAAGATGTGGAAGTTTTATTATTCTTATTTCCAACTGTTTCGGAACTTAAAGATACTTGGGTGGAAATGGGGAAAAATTTATCGTCAGATTAACACACTCCTATTATTATATTAAGTAGCACACGATGGACCATAAAGAAGATCACCAAAGACATTTGATATAAACAGGAAACAAAATGAATGTAAGCAAATAGATCGTTATGAAAGAAAACAAGTCGTTATTCAGTCTTCGTCAGTGGACTGTGTAATAAGATCTGAACAACCGGAGACTGCATGGCACGAGGGTTGCTTATTAACTTTCTTATTAACTAAAACCTTGAAATTTGTACTGCAAATTATTGGGAAATGCAAATATTTTTATGTTTGAAAATTACAAACTTTAGTAGGGATAAGTTGAAACAACAATGCCGAAAAACAATTTATCATTAGAGGGCTCAAAACACACTCTGTGGAGAGCGTTTAGGTTCTTGTGAGTCTTCTGAGAGTGTGATCAGAAATGCCTAACGGCGAAATAGAAGCAAAAAATATCTGATGAGTCCAAAGAGACTKCAYTATTCTWCCAAGGCATCAAGAAAAATTTCCAACGCTCAAYCAGATTGTTGAGTCAACGATCARTCGTATTTTCGTTTAATTATTGAAGATTTTATTATTATGGCATGAATAGACKTGTATATCTGAAAATAATTTCCAAAGCCAGTSGGTTAGTGCGAAAGAAAATAAAAAACCAATACCGAACTTGTGCTGACTCTGAAGAGTTGTACTGAAAATTCCCATTTTATGGCTACATGTATGGTCATATATATAAAACGGAAGCAGGATTTACGAACTCTAAGCAGAGCAGGAATATATCTAAGCTATTCATAACACTGCATCATCACAGCACATTACGTATCATTTTTCTCGGCAAAATAATAAGCGAGATCTCATAAATATCTGTTAGATTGACATTTTCGCTACTCATGCTACGAGCTTCTGATGTTAATATATCGATGCTGTCTCGTCTGGCTGAGAAAAATAAGTTGCCGCTGAGTGTAATGATCTGACAACGTTTTTACATAAGCTCTCAGCGCACAGTTACACAGCGCCCCGTTCCGCATTTTTACTAAATTTTTGTGAGGAAAAACGACTCTCAGCACTCGAGAAATTCAGGAAAATTCGTCCAGCTTCGGCTAACCAGAGAGAATGGTTAGAAGGGTTTTTTCCTCAGATTAAACAGATGCATTTGTTTACGTTTTTAGGTGGGAGTAATATTGGCTCACAGTCTATATAAAAGTAGGTTACTGCCAGGAGCGGATCCAGATTTCGAGTCAGGGGGGAGGGGGTCAAACAGTCGAAATTCTTATGCTTAAAAGAAATCGTTATGCTTAAAAGAAATCGTGCGAGGTAGTTTTCTTCTGCAGGAAAATCGGCCTGAATTTTCCTAACCTCTACTATTTTGCACGATTGTAAACAGGAGCCAGTGACGTGAGTTGTTTTGAATTTATAAGCTGAGTCATATTCGGTCCCTATTAAAGCGCTATCAAATGCTTAAAAAAATTGCGTTACCATTAAAGCGTTTATAATTTCAAACATTTGATGTAGAGATCAGAAAATTAATGAATCGTTCATGCTTAGAATAAATCGATTAATACAGATTTTTACTACGCCTATGGCTAGCAGCCAGGCCAGTTGATTTTCCGATTCATTCCAGAGACAAGTACTTGTCTCTGTTAATTCTACTCTTTGCTCGGTACCTACTTTATCCCTACCACCTGTTTTTCATTGATAAATCGCCGATCGATAGAATTTAATGTTGGTCCCAAACAAATMGGGATKTATGAATGACTAGCTTGGTCTATTGGTTTTTTCCTTGTAYMAAGCTTTCGGCTTGCATTAACACTATACAGACACGGAGACAAGTGACTGGTTTTAAGCATATCAACAATGTAGCCAAAAAATGAAATGCTTAAAAGGTGAGCATTAATATTCAGATAATTTTATATTCATTTATTATAAAAAAACGCACTGATGTTCAACGCGTAAACACAAAAGGCCAACCAATTCGCGTTAGTTTCGGTTCGTTATCGTTCAATCTCTTTGCAACCCGTTCACATGTGTGTTCGACGTCGCTTTTGTGTTCGCTGCCTAATCACGGAAGTTACTTACGGAAATTAATCAGTCTGCGGTTTGCGTAGTTGAGAGTTTCTAATTCGAAACTCGCCGCAGATATTCTGC